CCCCCCCGGGACCTTCAGCCTCGGGGTTGGGGGTCGGGACCTTCCTCATCCTCGTTTTGGGGGTTCGGGGCCTCCTTCGGCCTCGTTTTGGGGTGTTCAGGACCCTCCTCATCCTCGTTTTTGGGGGTTCAGGACCTTCCTCAGCCTCGGGGTTGGGGGTCGGGACCTTCTTCGGCCTCGTTTTGGGGGGTTTCAGGACCCTCCTCATCCTCGTTTTTGGGGGGGTTCAGGACCTTCTTCAGTCTCGTTTTTGGGGGTCGGGACCTTCTTCATCCTCATTTTGGGGGGTTCAGGACCTTCCTCATCCTCGTTTTGGGGGGATTCAGGACTTTCCTCATCCTCATTTTTGGGGGTTCTGTGATCTTCCTCCTCGTTTTTGGGGGTCGGGACCTTCTTCATCCTCGTTTTTGGGGGTCGGGACCTCCTTCGGCCTCATTTTGGGGGGTTCAGGACCTTCCTCATCCTCGTTTTGGGGGTTCGGGACCTTCCTCATCCTCGTTTTTGGGGGTTCCGGGACTTACTTCAGCCTCGTTTTGTGGGTTCCAGGATCTTCCTCCCCCGTTTTGGGGTCCGAGACCTTCCTCGGCCTCACTTGGGGGGGTTGGGACCTTCCTCATCCTCGTTTTTGGGGGTCGGGACCTTCTTCATCCTCATTTTTGGGGGTTCAGGACCTTCCTCATCCTCGTTTTGGGGGTTCAGGACCTTCCTCATCCTCATTTTTGGGGCTCAGGACCTTCCTCAGCCTCGTCCCAGTTTAGCTGTGATAGAACTTCCCTTCTCCTCCTCTTCCTCCTCTTCCTCCTCCTCCTCCTCCTTTTGGGGGTCTGGGACCTTCTCCTTGTCCAGAACCTTCCTCCTCCTCCTCATTTTGGGCTCTGGGACCTTCCTCCTCCTCCTCCTCATTTCCCAAACCCAAACTCTGTTCTCCCTTCCAGGCTCCTCCATCCTTCCTCCTCCTCCTCCTCCTCCTCCTCCCTTCATCCCCAACCTTCCTCTTCCTCCCCATTTTGGGCTCTGGGACCTTCCTCCTCCTCATTTATTGAACCCAACTCTCCTTTCTCTCCCTTCCAGGCTCCTCCATCCTCCTCCATCCTCCTCCTCCTCCTCCTTTCAGGTTCCTCCTCCTCATTCACCGACCCCAAACTCTGTTCTCCCTTCCAGGCTCCTCCATCCTTCCTTCTCCATCCTCCTCCTCCTCCATCCTCCTTTTGGGCTCTGGGACCTTCCTCCTCCTCCTCCTCCTCCTCCTCCTCCTCCTCCTCCTCATTTTGGGCTCTGGGACCTTCCTCCTCCTCATTTTAGGGTCTGGGACCTCCTCCTTGTCAAGAACCTTCCTCCTCATTTATTGAACTCTCCTCTCTCTCCCTTCCAGGCTCCTCCATCCTCCTCCATCCATCCTCCTCCTCCTCCTGCTCTTCCTCCCCAACCATGGGCAACGCCAAGAGCGGGGCCCTGTCCAAGGAGATCCTGGAGGACCTGAAGGCCAACACGCGCTACTCGGAGGAGGAGCTGTGCCGCTGGTACGAGAGCTTCCAGAAGCAGTGCCCCGACGGCCGCATCTCCCGCGCCGAGTTCGAGAAGATCTACGGCAACTTCTTCCCCAACTCCGACCCCCAGGGCTACGCCCGCCACGTCTTCCGCAGTTTTGACACCAACGATGATGGGACCTTGGATTTTCGGGAGTATATTATTGCCTTGCACCTCACCTCGTCGGGGAAGACGCACCTCAAGCTGGAGTGGGCGTTCTCGCTGTTCGATGTGGACAGGAACGGGGAGATCAGCAAGGGGGAGGTGCTGGAGATCATCACGGTGGGTTTGAGGGGGGTGAAAATAGGGTTTGGGGGGATAAATGTGAGATTTGGGGGGATAAATGTGAGATTTGGGACTGGGAATGGAGAGATCAGCAAGGGGGAGGTGCTGGAGATCATCACGGTGGGTTTTGGGGCCAAAAACCCACCCCCAAAATGGGTTTGGGGGGATAAATTGGGGTGGGAATGGTGGGATCAGCAAGGGGGAGGTGCTGGAGATCATCACGGTGGGTTTTGGGGGGATAAATGTGAGATTTGGGACTGGGAATGGAGAGATCAGCAAGGGGGAGGTGCTGGAGATCATCACGGTGGGTTTTGGGGGGTTTTGGGGGGGTAAATGTGAGAATTGGGACTGGGAATGGGGTGGGAATGGGGTGGGAACAGGGTGGGAATGGGGTGGGAACGGAGAGATCAGCAAGGGGGAGGTCCTGGAGATCATCACGGTGGGTTTGAGTGGGTTTTGGGGGGGTAAATGTGAGATTTGGGGG